AATGCACACTGAGTTCACAAAAAGTCTGACTTGATTTGTTCTTTCAGCTTTAATTAATACAATTTAAAGGGAATTTTAAAAATAGTTTGATTCTGCTGTGACTTCTTTTGTTTCCAGTTTTCAGTAAAGGATTAAAAATCTCAAGATCTCATTGCAGTCTGCAAAATGTCTCAAAAAAAAAAAAAAAATAAAGCCCGTTTTGAATTCAGGTGGTTCAGTGGCCTTCCTTTAACAACTCTTTTCCTACAAAGAACCCAAACACACACACGTGCACACACTCTGTTTTGTTCACCTATTTTTTTCCCTGACATGATCCAGGATCAGAACCAATAACAGAAGCTCTGCTAAGGAGACGTAACAGCAAGCAGCTGAGTTCAGGGAGAGGAGGAAGCACCCTGAGCGCCCGTCAGTCAGAGGTGCCTCAGCTTCAGCAAACACAAACAAGACTTGACTCACTTCTACTTTCTGTGAGCTGGCAGACACACAAAGAAACACAGAGACACGCGCAACCAACTCTCAGCAGCGCTAATTAGCTTATCGTCATAACACTTTGTAACTGGAGGGAGTCGATTCCATCCTAACCTCTAACATCTGCAAAAATAAACCTTCTAGCCATGTTCCCTTTGCTACATTCATCTGTCTAAACTGTGGAACAGCTGGGTCTTTCCCTTCCTTTAATTTCATTCACAGAAAGATTTTCTTTAAAAYTGGAAAACATTCTTGATCAACCTGTAAATCAGATGATTAAAACTCTGAGGCGTCACTTTAAATTATAGTTTGACTTAACTTACATGTTTTGACCTAACAGAAGTGCTTCGACGTTACGTAACACTGATTTCATTCATCCACAGACCTTTACCTTCTCTGGGATAAAACTTGGACTGAAGTTTACAAAAATATATATGAAGAGAAGTCAAACAGAAGCAGACAGAAAGAAATGTAAAATGAGGACAGGTCATTTCAGCAAAACATTAACTCTTACTAAAGCTGGTGTATAATGTTAAAAAAACTGAACTAAATGAAAAAAAAAAAAAACAGGTCTTTTTGGTTTTACAGTTGCTCGTTCCCTTTTCTTTCAGATGACGCCTGGAGCATGATGATAAACTGTTGTTCAGGAGACGTTTGCAGCTCCAGATCAGGGAGAAATCCTAACTTTCAGTGTAGAAGAGGATTTTGGCAAAGTTAGAGAAGTTTATCAGATCACCAGGGTGTGTTAATGGAGTCTTGTCCACAAGAAAAAAAAAAATCAATGAAGTCAAAAAGTGGCAGTCGTTGTGGATAAAGTTTGGGAGCAGTTGCTCTTGAAAAACAAAAAGAACTCAGGGCTGCGTGGACGCAGACATCGTTCTCACATGGACTCAAACTCGTCGATGCGCTGTTTGGTGTTGCCCTGTCGGATCTGGCGGAGCGTTTTGTATTTGTCTCGGCCTGCTTTTACGTTCTCGGCGTGCAGCATGTCGTTCTGCGTCTTCTTGGTTTCGTCTCTGGCCTCGGCCAACTCTGAGCTTAAAGTCTGAGAGAGGAAAAGAAAAAAATGTTAAAAAAATTAATTTACATTTAAATTAATTTAATTTAAAGGACAGAATGAGAAAGATAAAAAGGACATTTCTAAAAATAGAAATTATCCAAATAGAAAAGGAAATGAGGCTGTGATTCATTGTCTATTGAACACTCAGTTTTTCTTTATTTTTTCTCTGAACTTTTGGGAAGACAAACTTACAAACTCAGATGTTCTTATTGAATAATTGAAATGGTTTAAGTTTTGTTCACAGCTTCAGTAAAAGCTCGGGCCTATATGGTAACAGAGCTGACATCTTGTAATAATCAGGATGCAACAACTAATCAAACTGTGACCAGAATCAGACATGTTTCAACTGACCGACCAAAACAAACTCAATGTTTTCCCTCAGCCTGTAAAAACACTGATGTTTCCCCTGGTCCATAAATGTACCACAGATAAGAACTTTTTGTAATTACAAAACTATTTGATGTTTTTAATTAAGTGAAAAGACTTATCTGTAATGTGTTGAAATAAGGTTAGAGGTCAAAACAAACAGGCTAAAAGATGTAATGTTTATTAGTACAAATGCATCTGTCTGATAAACCAGAAGATATTTAAAAACACTTTAAGCTGACGTCATGATTCAAATCAACCAGAAATATAAACATTTAAAAAAATATTTAAGATGCCATCAAATCTGGTCCTTAAAGTAAACATATGATGCATTTAAATCATTCAGGTGGGCTCTGTATAAAGTGGAACCTCAATGGTCTGAATTCCTCCTTATTGTAACTCCACAAGCCCTTCTTTCACCCCTTTTCTGAGGTGTGTCTCAGATCAACTCGTTTTGAAGCTGCATCTTTAAATCCAAACGAGGTGCTTMACTCCTCGCCCCCCTCCAGCTTCCAGACCAGTTCATTCTAGTTTGACAGAGGGGGTTATGGCTATATAGTGGAACAGAAATATTTTATTATGACCCTCGCACGCGAAGCGTAAGCGGGAGTCATATTGTTTTCATACTGTTTATTTTTTTCTCTAAAGATTTTTGGTCAACCGTAGCACAAAAACAGCTGCACCGATCAACATGAAATTTGGCAGGGCTGTAGATGAGTCTGACCTACACTGCACCAGCCAACGGGTTTACGGTAGACCCCGTATTTGAGGAGGGGGCTCCTTTCAAAGTGGGGGTGTCAGGACATGCAAAAATACTTATAACTCAGAAACTCTTCAACATAGAAGCTTCAGATTTCTTTTGTTCTTCAGCTCTGATGAAGCTCTGTCCATCAGGCCCACCAATCAGTGCCTGAGCGGGCTGMAAAATATAACCCAAACAGAATATAGATATCTTTGCAGAAACGGGACAGACTAAATTCAACTTTTATTATACACAACAAAATGTATTTAAAGGCTAAAAATGTGGATTTTGTGTGATAAGTCACCTTTTAAGGAAAATGTGAAGCAGCCAAATCTAAATTTACGTCAGAGCTTTCTTCAGTCAAGAAAACTGAAATCTGAGAATCTTTACTGACGTATTATTTGTTATGAATTATATTTTGATATATGCTAAACATTTTTCTAAATATTCTATGTCTGCTAAAAGGCCTGCTTCTTCAGTCCTGTGAAAGCAGGAGTACAAACAATRAAAATTGAAAGTTTGTCTCATCTGACATAGATTGACCCAAGTTTCTTTGAGATAAAAATTTGGGGGAAACAAACAAACAAACAAACAAATAAATATATATATTTTTGTTTGCCCCAAAGATTCCCTCCTAAAAAWAATTCTATTTTTAATTGGGACACAATTTCTTATTTCAATAAACCTAAAAGCTGAGTGTTTACGTTGAAGAGTTTGTATTAGTGAGACTGGTTTTATTTAAGTTGAATGTTTGTTCATTTATTTTTAACTGTCTTCAATAGTTCCATAGAAAACATCTACAGACATGAAGTGGGTCTCACACTGACCTTTGACCTCACACCAACACTCCTGCTCGTCCCTCCTACCTGCAGCTGCTGCTTCACCCTCTCGTTCTTCTGTGCCTCGGTGATGCGCTCCTCCTCACTGCGGAGGTCCAGCTGGCTGACTCCTTCGTTGCACAGCTCCTCGCTGGCTTCTGCGTGGTTCTCGTCCTGCTCGTCGTGCTCGGCGTGGCCACCTGGAGGGGCCGGCACTGCGGTGGTCGCRCTCTTCAGTTCTTCCTTGGTCTTCTCTAGGTCCTCCTGAGCAGACAGAGCCTGCAGGTGGAGACAAAGTGAGACAATGAACTGTTTTCAGACGCTACGTTGTCCTTTGATGTAACACAGACTGAACCAGAGCGTCTGACAAACCTGACCAGTACAGCAGGATTAAACTCAAACTGGGTTAAAAACCTCCTCAGACAAACAGAAAATGTTCCCACAAGGTGACAGATCCAGATCTGTCAGATTTTTTAGACTAAGTGGTGTTTTCTGCACTTCTTATCTGCAGTGCTGTCATCTCAGTGTGAGTTCAGAGGAAGAGGATGTCCTTCAGCACACACACACACACACACACACACAGTTTTCTGTTAACACTTTGCAAAAAAAGTTTGGTGGACAAGGACTAAAAGGAAAGAGTTTGTCTTCAGTAACTGTATCTTTGAGGATATCTGGGTCATTATATCATATCTAGGAAGTTCCCTGGTAGTCTGGTGGGTTTCCTGTGTGACGGTTTAGAGCAGAAACAAAATGCTGAGTCAGCTTGAGCTCAGGTCACATGCAGTTTGAAAAGCAAATCTGCCAACAAATCTTCAGTTTTTTTTTGTTTTTGGCGCATTAGTAGTTTATAAGTTCAACAGACTCTGTTCACATCCTCTCAATCTACACATCTTTTGTGGGAAGTTATGAGTCTGCAGCTTGCAGACAGAAAGCATTGGGTGGGCTGATGATGAGTGAGAAAAGATTAAGACTTCACAGAGAAAACTGGTCAAAATCAAAAACACAGTAAAGGTGAACTTATTGTGGAAATATTAAATACTTMTAAGTACCAGTAGTAAAATAGTAATTTAATGATTTTATCTTAACTAGCATTCCTTTAACAGGGTTTGAACACTTTTCCCACAGTCAAATTCAAGCACTTCTTAAGAGTTTTCAGGGTAAATTTTCCAGCTACAAGCTTCAGAGCGTCTGTACCTGTGAGCACCTTTCTCCACTGAACTTTAGAACCACAGCAGCTTTCCCTGAAGGAGCCCATCAACAACCTAAAGTAATGTGCAACTGAATACAATTCTACAAGTTATAGTAATAATATGAAATGGACATATAGACAGAAGGAGACCAAGCAATATCAGAGTCACAGCATGCATGATGGGACACCAGCAAACCACAGCTACTTTTTGCAGAATCAAACCATTAGCTAACCACCTTTATTAGCATTTCCAATACAAAGGTTTCATGGTTGCACATTTTAAAGTACATTAGATGACCAAATCCTAGCTTGATTCATCCTAAATTTGCAATTTATCTGCAAACTTGTAAGTTAGCTTAAATTTAAAATTTCCCTCCAATTCCKTTTGTATCATGGCTCAAGAGTGCAGACTCCCACACAGCAAAAAGCTGCAGGTCCTTCTCACATATCTTGCACTCAAGGATTTGGTCCTTTATTATGTCTTTGTTGTAACAACACTTATTGTCAATAAATCTTATACGAGGCACCTGATTGGCAGCACCTGGAGGTACTAGGAGTTTAAAACAAGTGTCAATGAAAAGCTGTTTGACAGAAAAGATTTGGCGATTGTTTCATTGTTTCATGTGCTCAACCCACACACTGCAGTCTACTGCTCCGCCCACAAATGCATGTTCCTTACAAATGTGGCACCATTTAAAAAGGGAATTAACAGGCTTTCCAATAATAAAATGTATTGCCAAGAAGCATTGTTACAACAAAGAAATAATCTACAACACACAATTTCTTTTACTTTTTGTGCTAAGTTTACTTGACTTCAACACAATGAAGTGTGGTTGAGCTCCAACACATGAAGGCTGCAGTACCTTGTGCTGCCACTCGTTGGCCTCATCCTCTTTCTTCCTCTTGGCTTCTTCCAGAAGAGCGATCTTTGCAGTGAATTCAGCCAGCTCAGAAGCCTGGAATAAAACACATCTCTGTAGTTACAGGTAGAGTACACGAAAACATTAACACACACACACACACACACACACACACACACACACACACACACACACACACACACACACA